GAACTTTCTACCGCCAAATTGACTGATCCCTTCACACCCCACTGTAAATATTCTCACTACAAAAAAGACTGGCAGATGTTACCAGACGATTGGCGTCACAAAAGGCCCTTTCTCGTCACTAAAAGTTTATTCTGACGAAATACTGTCGTTAGCGGGTCGTGGGGTAAAGGTCCATATGTAATAGTCTAAAAAAATTTGGCGTCATAAAAACATTTTTTGTGAGGATAAATTATCATCAAAACCCAATTTATCGTTGTCGAAAAAGAAATTTTTTTGTCAGTTTAAGTATTTGTGAGAATATTTTTTTGTAAGAAAATTTTTTTTTAGTTAATAACACTTTGGAATTTCAATTCCTGAAATACACTTACATGGTTTTGTGATGACTTGTTTATTGTCAGAAAATGTTGTATAATTAGGCGAAAGTTTTTGTTCCCAAAATACCCTTTTGTTATTTCTGACAAGTAAAAGTCCTCATGAATGGAGAACTCCTCATAAATGAAATTGTTACCGACGCAATGGTTTCGTTGGAACACTAGAGAACAACATCAGAAATGGAAACATTCATGACGAATAAAATAGATAAATACATTTTATAGCTGAAACGTAATTATTGTCTGCATTTTCCAATAACAAATTAAATGATCATATATTAAAATCGCCAACACAATATTATTAATGACATTTTCTTTAATATCAATGGCAATTATTGTTCACACCTTACTATACTACTATATACATTTATTAGAAAATCATAATACATTATTAATTTAAAAATAAAAGAACAAATATATGTCGCTTCCTCTCCCACCCACTGCCGCTGCCCTTGTCGAATCATCGTCGTCATCGAGATGCATCTCGTTACCACCGGCGACTGTTCGTCTCCCCACCATTAAAACCCCAGAAAAATAAAAATACCAAAGGGGTTAGAATCCGATCAAAAGCCTCGAGAATGAGAATCAAAAGAAAACAACATGCAACCCAAAATTTACTACCTTAGACCATCATCTCTACAGTCAACATCGTCCGCGAGGTCGAAACTTGTCAATTTCATCACAGAGCCGCGATCAATTGAGATTTCTGGGATCCAAGGAGAGAAATGAAGAAAGATACACAACCGCCTGTCGCCGTGCCGGTGGGATCCTCAACACACACATATCTACCTCTGCCTCTTCGATCTCTCCTCTTATTCTCTTCTTCAGAGATTCACCGTACCCACCTTTGCGTTCGATCTTCTTAAGTTTCGCTCGTCGCTGACTCAAGGGTCATATATCCTAGATAGATTGACGATTCCAAAGTGGAAACCCACCGATTCAATGAGTCGAGCCCGAGTTCGACTATCTAAATTCATGCTTGTCTTTCCTCCTCCCGCAAGAGTGTCTTGGTGGCCGCCAAGCAGGGGTCCATGTACCCCTTTCATCGTCCTTCCGTCGCACCCAATATGACTCTCACCATCGCTCAATCCATCGTCGATTTCAATCAAACCTCCGTCTTGCCGTCTTCAAATAGCAGATCTGGCGTTGATTAAAAAAGTATGGCAGGGTTGCCGCTCACTACTGTTGCGGCTGAAACGGCTAGAGGGGAGAATTGAGAAAGAATATGGCTGCCGACTGCTCTACATTTTAGGGTTGAGAGGAGAGCTCTCTTCTCTAGGTTTGGGAGGCGAAAATGGAAAGGATGAAGGGAGTGGATATTGCTTACAGCTAGGGTTTATAGCAGGAACTCTTATAGCCCAACCAATTACCACTAGCCCTCAATCTTTTAAGTTTTCTCCTGATAATTCTTAAATATTTTAACTCTTACAAAACGGTATAAGAATCGTTGCTCCGTTGGTACCTAAATGTTTTAAAGTATTCAAAGTGATAAAAAAACAAAAAAAAAATGGAGGGAGCATTAGTGAGTTTTCCTCCATAGAGTTTGAGAAATTTTGTTAGGGGGAAAATCTAAGGAAAGAAGGGGAAATTTCCTTGCATAAAATCCGTGTAAATATTCATCATTATATTATTTTATTACAAATAAGAAAGTATTATACCTGAACGAAGCCAATCAGTTGACCAAAATTCATCCTTGACGTTATACATCTCCAAGCCATATAATATTAAACAAGCAACATTCAAGTAAAGGATAAAAACAGGCCAAGAACAGAAAAACATAACTGTATGAGCCCATACACCGTGAGTCGGGGGCGTAGCCCCCGAACCCCCTAATACGGCTGCTTCACCCCTGTACCCCGACTCGCTGACCGGGCAGCGAGACCACCGTGGCTCCCAGTCGTCGGCCGAATAACAGACTTCACGTCATAGCAACAACCATGGAAGTTGTACATATACCTTAATGGTCGTCATTGAACTGGTACATACACCTTATGGTGTAGAGTTGTGCCTATACCTTTCTGTACAAATTGTGGTGAACTTGTATGTGTACCTTAGGGTAAAAGTTAAGTTGAAGTTCAATTAAGCTTGTATCTATACCTTTATAGTCAAATTGAAGTTGTACATATACCTTATGGTACAAGTTTAAAATAATTTTGTGCCTATACTATATAGTACAAATTATACTTGATTTGGGTTGTGAGTCAATATAGTTATGGATCAATGAAGTTAAAAAAGTCGCACTTGATTAAGTTAAAAAGTGGCGACCATATTTTTTTTTGTTATAGCTGGCATTATGATTGAATTTCTTTTGGTGCTTGACTGTTTAAATGTATTTAAATGAATAGTAATTTAATAAAGAACGAAAGGGTTAATCAAGCAAAATTTAGGATTATAATTACCAAAAAATTTGAGGATTATTCTCCTTAAGATAAGATCATGTGAGTAAGTCATTAAACTTTGGATAAGCTAATTAAATAAGGACATTGATTAAGTATTAATAAAAAATTATTGTAGCCTAATTTGTGGATTATTCTCCTTTTAAAATGTAATCATTCTAATTGGTATAGACTTTGTTTTGTGAAGAAGAGATCTATGGTTCGAGTACATCCATGACCTTTTCCTTAAGGTTATTATTAATTTCAACTCTTAAAACTAAGAATTTGTTCCTATGTAACGAAACTTTTCTGACAAGCGAAATTTGCCAATAATGTTCTATATGTGATGACATTGTTTGCATATTATTGACGACATATAAATTCTTCACAGAAAGTGTTTTCCTCACGAAGTTTTTTCAACGAAATAATCATTTGTGATGGCCATTTTGTCCAGTCACTTTTCTAACAAACTTTTATCGACGACCAAATACGTTCCCTCATAAAAAGGTTTGTTTTTCTGAGAGATAGGAAAATTCCTAAAAAATAATACTGATTCCAACAACATTTTCTAAGGAAAATTTTGTATCCTCAAAAAAATAAAATTAAGGAATTTTCCCCTCCTTTTCGGCGTCAAAAAAACGTATTATTTCTTACGACTATTTCAATTTGGTCATAAATAATTTGTATTTGTGATAAAAGTTGAAATTTCGTCGGTAAAAGTGAGATGGCATTGCCCGTATTTGTGGAATTGACTTTTTATGACGAAAGTTTTGGACATTATTGACAAGTATTGATGTTCGTCACAAACATTTTACGTTTTTATGAGGACAACAAGTTTTTGTCACAAAAAAAAGTTATTTCCAACCAAAAAACAGTGTCGTCACAAGGATTTCGTCACTTTTACCTGTCTTTTTTGTAGTGTCTGCTGAACTCCGGTAATTAAGTTTGAGTGTGCTAGTCTTAATGAATGTTTAGCTTGGTTGAACTCCATCTATCATTTTCTTATTTCTGGAGCCTATACAGCTTCAATATTCAAAATCCAATAGTCAATCACCATGAATTTAAAAAGCAAGAAATATGTTATATTTCCCTTCACTTATAACCCCTTTAATTCTAAGATCAGTCGGTATTTTAATGGTAGTGTTCTTTTCATGGCTTTGAAGGCCTGAACTTTTACAGGATTTGAGTTTATGTGAAGGAGACTTGGAGGATGATGATGGTTGGTTGGATAATGTTACGAGAATCAAGCCATCGTAATATTGGGCCTCGTTCTGGACTTGCATATTTTATTAGTATCTTGCTATTATTAGTCTTCTTTATTGTTTTCATTGTTCTATTAGGTTTGGGATTACCTTTTAGTATTTGTTTAAGGATTAGTTATTGTTTCCTTGTGGTAGAAGTAGTTATGTTTTAGGTAGGAGAAAGGAAAGGCTCTATGCCTATAAATATGTACTTTGTCTTTCGTTTAATGTCATGAAAAATATTGGAACCCAAATCTAGTTTAAGGGCTCGTTTGGAGCCTCCGATTCCAGATGTTGTATTCTCATGTATCCTGAGAATACAACGTTTTTTTGACTTGATTTAATAACATAATGCATGCATTCATAATCCATGGTGTATTCCTAATACATAGAAAGTGATGTATTCATAATCTTACCTTTTTGGTGAGATTTTAGTAACTATAGTTCATTTGAACTATAATCCATGCATTCTTGTATGGGTTCCAAACAATGAATTTTCAAAATCACACATTCTTAGTATACACATAATCTTTAATACACACATTCTCGTAATACATCATTTCCAGAATCAAAGGTTCCAAACGACTCCTTATTGTCTTTCGTTTTACCGCAATTTATGACGTTTTATCGTAGTTTGTTAGTTTTATCGCAAGGAAGTTATGAGACAAGAATTCTTCAATTCTGTGTCTCGTAACAATTAAAACTTCCGATTTGGATAGGGTGTGGCAGAAGAGACGCTCCGAGTTTAATACAGTAAAATTTCATGCTCGATTGTAGTTTTAATTATGTTCCACCAATTGGACGAGTATATACAAATAGAATGGGTACCCGTTATTCATTCCGTACGGGTAATGAGTACCCGTTAACCTGTACGAATTTGAGATGTGAGATGGAGATTGCTCTTCAAATGAGACTGGATTTCCATTTCAAACGGGATGAGTATCCCATCCCGTTGCGCACCCCAAACATGTTGCTAACACTTAATGGTATTAGCACCCTATCTCCTCCCATTGTATCTCAAAATGTCTGTATTCTAACTTTTAAATATAATAACGTAACTTCATGGCCATAGATTTGCAACGAAAAAACCTTTTTTGTTTCCATATTCTTACAAAAGCTCTTAGTCAGTAGGAGTGTGTTGATGATGATCAAACTCTCTACAAATTAGGTTTTCCTTGGAGTTTCCAATCAAGATACTCACTCTTGATTAAAAAAAACAAAAACAAAAGAGAAAAGGAGAAACTTTCAAGAGAATTTTGATACAGATTTCCTTCTCTTTTCCTGTTTATATACACTACACAGTAAAGTTGTGTTCTTTTTTCTTCTTATACTCAATTAATGCTTGAGTAGCATGGCTTCCATCTTCCTTTTCCTCGCTGCAAGTTTTAGCTTCTCCAATGCAACCAGCCCAACTTGCCTCACTCTTTCCCTCGACAACCCAATGCTGTTAACCCAGAAACAACAGGTTCATGTTTAACCCCGGTGTCAGAAATCATAGGGAAGGTTTGGTTTAAGAGCGAATCTGACGAAAATATATTGCAGAAGGAGAAATGGATGTGCAAGAATGCATTGACTGACCGTTTGCTGATGTCCTCCCACGTAAGGCATTTTGTGTCGAGGCCATAGTAAAGGCGTATGATCTCTCGTTCTCGTTCTTGAAGACTCAAATCGATTAGCTTGTTCACTTCATCCTGCCAGAAAAAATGGTCCACACATTTGATGATTGGAATACTGATGGAAATAGATAGCTAGTGGCTATTTAGTCTTATAGTAAAGTTAACAATGAAATGTCCTTATTTTACCTTGAGTGCCAATTCGTCTACTCCATGCCAGGGGTTGTTCTCCAAGTGATTATCTGCAATGTACTGCAGCATTGAAAATGGAGAAGAAATGTCAGCAGCAAGATGGAAAAGAATGCTGTGATTTGGAACTTGAGGTTTGCAGGATTTTGGTTCACTCACACTATGGTGGGATTCTCCAGGAAGGCCATTCAAGGAAGGGAAAGCATCCCGATCCATCGAGATGACCTTGTTAACCGCCTGAGGTACAAGGACACAACCAATTTCCATCTAGTTAGTACAAAAATCAAGAGATAAGGTGGTAATCTCTCAGCATAAGGAACTTTCATATCTCATGCTATATTACCTCTGTAGCATTTCTAACTTTCTTCTCTGACATATTCAGTGATTCTGCAATTCTCTGCCAAAAGGTGAAGTAGGAAGGAGTCATAAAAGGGAACTGGGAGCTATACTCCAACAACTTTCAGATATGCTACAGAATGGAAACTTAGAGCTCTAATAAACCATTCCCTTAATAGGGAAAAAACAACTTCAATCCGCTTACATCAATGGATGGTGTTATTCCTTTCTCTTCGAGTCTGATCTTAGCATTCCTTATGAGGCCTAGCCTCTCATGCAGATGATTAGGTAGCCTTAAGGTTCTTGAATTCTCAACTAAAGCTTTTGAGACACCCTGCATTCGGAAGGGAAAATGGTATCAACAATATGCAAAACTAAAAAATTAACACAAATGCAGACCAGCTGAAAGATTCAACACCCTTTACCTGACGAATCCACCAATAAACATAGGTAGAAATCTTAAACCCCTTTGAAGAATCAAACTTCTCTATGCCACGCAACAGTCCAATCAGACCTCCCTGCGTAGAAGCACATTGCACAGTTGGTAAAAATAACTGGAAGCTAGCTCACCCTGCTACGCACAGAAGTATTATTAAACTTTCAACCTCAGCACTTGAGTTAGAAAAAAAGGTAGAAATGAATGGTCACCTGAACAAGGTCAGCCAGTTCGGCACCCATGTTGTCATACTTTTGCGCTATAGACATAACCAAGCGAACATTGCTCATTGCCAGCTTCTCTCTTGCCAATGAACAAGCCATCTGTTTGGAATGCAGTTCAGTACGAGATATCTTCAAGGAATCCGCCAGTTGTTCATCCGAGGGATCACATCCCAGTCTTTCTCTCAGCCTGTCAATTTACCAGAAAACAAAACCATTTAGGGTCTGTTTGTTGGACTAAGAAGAAGTGAACTTTTAGGAGCAAAGGGTTATCTTTCTTCTTCTTCTCAGGTAATGCCAGGTACAAAGAAAGAAAGGAATTTACCTGGATTTACGTTCCTCCAAGGAGAGACCAGCTTTAATAACCCTGGACAGGCGCACAACTTCTGCATGAGTGAGCAGTTCTTCACTCAGCACACCCTTCACGTAACCAGTCAAGCGATTGTGCACCAACTCAGGGATAATACTACTCTGGCCAATAGTTTTTCTTTTAGTGTTGATTCTCCTTTGCCGTGCAGAGACCCCAGAACAGGTAACTACTGGAACCTTCTTCTTCTTTCCTTTCTTCTTACCAACAGCAGATGATGAATCCGGCCTCTCGTCAAATGAGAGACTCCATTGCTTCTCCAGCATAGACCTTTGTAACAGAAGAAGCGCCTCTACCGAGTAGCCAAGAACATCACAACTTTCTTCTTCATCTTCTTCTTCTTCCAAATCCTTGAAAGTAGTTTCGGGCAATGTGGTTGCAGCAGTTACAGTGTCAACATGGTCTTTCAGGGCCTTAATGGAATGCGTGGTCCTATTGGAACCCTGGTAGCCAGGGCCATAATGTGATGATGATGACTTCTTGGCAACTACAATGCTTCTCGATGAAGTGAATTGAGAGTGGGATGATCCATGTTCGGAGGAGCTGCTGCTACAGAAGAGCTTCTCGGGAGGATCCGAACAGTAATGGAAAGAAGAAGGCAAGAGTCTGTTTCCTGCAGTGAGTCCAATGACTGCAGTGGTGGCCATCATATGGCTTCTTCCCCAGCACCCTCAATAACCATTACAAGTTTTCTTCCCCGACATGAAATTTGGCGGTTGAAGCCCTTTGTGGGCGAAACGAAATCAGTAGGGCTCAACAGAAACAGTCTTTTCCCCTCCTAAATTGGTGATCAAACAAAGAAACAAATCACTCTCCAGCTTCACATATGTGATGGCTTCTTGCTTGTATAATTAAGTTGAACACATCAATACAGTAGACAATGGCATGGTGAACGAAAAAAAACGCAGCTCATGGAACAGCTAAATGATTAAGGAAAGAAAGCACAAGATTCAAGCAGCGGTTTGAATCAGCGTTGTGGTTGATGCTAGATGCTCTATGGTTAGCAGTAAACACATAAAGTTGAACTCTAATGGGTAAATACACATACATGCATACAAAGGTCTGGTCTGGGGTGGGAAGTGATTAGAATGAGAATCTGGAGTTGGGTTTGGGTTGACATACATACATAAACCCAGGAGATTGTTAGTAGGTAGCAGCAAGCAAGAGAAAGAAAGAGTAAATGGCCATACAAAGCTGGTGCAGCTTAGACGAGAGAGATGTGAAACAGAAATGGGCATACCTTGGGACTGAATTCCGATGAACTCCAACAGCAGAGCAGCAGGCTGAGGAAGAGGGTAATGAGCAGAGAGAGGGTTGAGCTGGTTGTGTGTGAGCAGAGGAACAAGAACCTCTCCTTGTTTCTTGTTGTGAAGCGTTGGCCTGTAACTGATATTTGTTTTCCAGTTGTGATAATTATTACGATCTGAATAAACGAGGGAATAATGATTCTTGGTTATATTTATATTATATGATATGATCGGTCCAGCATTGATGATCAAACAAACGGATAGATGGGTTGGGTTTGGAGGGAAGAAAATCAGAAATAGATAAAAGGGATGAAGGAAAAGAGGAAAGGGAAATTGGTTAGGAATAGGAGGAAGGTGATATGGGAAGGAGAGATGGGATTGGCTGCAGCAGATATGGGGCGGGCCCACCCCAATTCCGGGTTTGCGGTTCACATTCCGCCATTTTCCGACTCTTCTCATTTATTTATTTTAATGTTGCTGTCGTGTGTTGCGCTTTTTCTCCAGAATTTAATTTAATTTAATTTATCTCTATGTCTATCTGTATTTAATTTTTTTATTAGATAAATCCATGCGAAACTCTTGAAAAATGGAATTCCAGTTAGTTGGCCTAAAAATAGGACGGATGTGCAGAAGCGTGACTCCAGCAAGCACAACACAACATTGGAGAGATCGATCGATGCGATGATGGATGGGCATATACGAACGTGTTCCTACCATCTCCCTCCAACTCATTTGGTCACTGGGATTACTAAATCATGTTATATTTAGTCACTAGAAAAAATTAATATCAATTTTGGTCACTCGAATTACTAAAACATGTCACATTTAGTTCCTCTCTCGTTAATGAAGTTGGACGGAAACTAACGGGAGAGTGACTAAATGTGACATGTTTCAGTAATTCGAGTGACCAAAATTAATATTAATTTTTTGAGCTAATTCCACTAGGAAGCCCAAACTATCCAAAACGTGTCATTTGTGTTCTAAACTATTCAATATAACAAATCTGGCACAAACTATATGCGTTTGTGACATTTGTGTCCTAAACTTTTCAATATGACAAATCTGGCCCAAACCACATGGAAGTTGACTACATTTTCTGTAATCTACTAACGGTCAACGTCGGTCAACATTAACAAAAAAATAGTTCGTGCCAGATTTGTCATATTGAATAGTTTATGACACAAATGACACTTTTTGAATAGTTTGGACTTCCTAGTGGAATTAGCCCTAATTTTTTCTAGTGACTAAACATGACATGATATAATAATCTCAGTTACCAAATGTGGCATTTACCCACTCCTTAATTAATAACCTTCCTCCAACAACTAAACCAAGGGAAGACAAAGCGAGTGAGCCACCTCATGGTTTCTCGACCCATTCCTTACCAATCGTGTACGTATTAAAGTCTTACCAACTAGATAAACTATTTTCAGAACTTGTTACAAATTTTACATGTTCATTTATCTACATTTGAAATTTTATAACCAAGTTGGATCCCCATTTACTTGAGTATGTTTTAACTACGCATACAAAAATTGGACCTATTTGTAAAACTTAAAAAGTTTAGATATAAAAATTTAATTCACAAAAATAAATTCACAATAATGTAATTTTCCATCAATCTTTTGAGGACTTACAAACATTACAAATTTGAGGCTAAAGAAGAAGTGATGGAAAGGAGAAGTGACGCCTACCGATCCCTGCCTGGCTGCCCAGCGGGAAGGAAAGGGACGCCGGGAATTTCCTCGCCGGTAGATACTGGCCGTCGGGAAAGGGACGGGATGTCTGCAAATCCCTGGCCGGCGGGAAGGATATGGACGCCGGATTCCTGGCCACCGAACCCAGAGAATGGACTGGAAACGATAAATTTTTATTATTATATGATAATTAAAAATTAAAAAATCATGATGTTCTTCATTTTTAATGATTAATTAGAGCCATTGAATTTTAATGAGATTAAAGAACTAGATTTTCTTAGTCAAGTGACTAAAATCCCTTAATCACCTGATTTTAGCCCAACAACAATTAGACCAATTAAAAAAACTAATTACCACGAAACACCGTAAACTCGCCTTGTTTTTCCATAACATTCCCCACACTAAATTCATTCCCGAAAAGCCAACAATCACCTTTATCTATTCAAAACAAGATGGTTCTTTCTACTTTCAACGAAGAGAAGCCACTCAGATTACAACCACCAACATCGTCTCACATTTAGGGGTGTCCATTCGGGTTTGGTTTTTCAGGTTTACCCAAAACCGACCCGATTATATACATTTTCAAGTTTTCGGGTTCAAGTTCATTTCAGGTTTTGGGTTTTTCGGTTTCAGGTTCGGTTTTGCTTATCGATTTTTTGGGTTTCGTCTAAAAACCTCAAATGAATAGAACTCAGCCGTATTCTTAGGCGTTCGGGTTTTCGAGTTTCGGTTTTGTTGGGCATGTGACTCGGATTCCGCCGTGCCAAAGAAACACAGACACCAAGAGACGGGCGCACCAGCATCGGCGCGAGCAAGCACACCGCCGAGCGTCAATACTGAGAGGCGGGCGCGCCAGCGCCGGCGCGAGCGAACACATCGGCGAGCGTGAATACCTAGAGACGGGCGCATCAGCGCCAGCGCGTCCAAGGCCAGCCCGAGTCCAGTGTTGACTAAATTAGCGAGTACGGGAAACGACGCCGTGTCCCACCTATCGGGTGGTCACATCACAGTCCTAGGTATAATGAAAAGCTAAGTGTACTTGTCCTAGGTAGGGATATGGCCTAGTCTTCTGACATGTCAGTAGTCATGTCACCATGACATGTCAGCATGTAACTCACCCACCACCATGTAGCCTATAAATAAGGCATTTACTCCGGTGGGTGAGGGGATCAGATTTTTCAGACTCTATCTCTAGACAAAAGAACAGACTTCTCTCACTAAAATATAACTCTCTCGGTTTCATTCTTCCCTTTCTTTGTTCTTGGATCCACGGCTGATTCTCATTGCTTATTCTCCTCGACCCATTTTCCCGAACCTCACTCCTACACTCAGTTAGGTTCAAACAATTGGCGCCCACCGTGGGGCCGAGTAGAAAAGGTAACAGAAATCCAACCAATGGCAGAACCCAACTCCAATTTTCCCGACGAGGTGACACCCATCAAGGCTATGACAACCCCGAGGGCGTTCGCCGAAGGGAGCAACCTCAACGTGGTGCTCGTTGAGGAAGAAGAGCCCGAGCTGACAGCCAAGGAAATGAGGCAGCTAGTGGCAAAGCAAAACAACGTCATAGCTGACATGCAAAAGCAGATGAGCCAAGTCCTCGCGCTCATGATGAGCAAGGAAGCCGCGACAGCACCAGGTGCAGCGTCTGTCGCACTACAACAAGGAGAAGCGTCAGGCGCAGCAGCGCCACCACAACAGGCGGAGGGCGCGTTGTCCGCGTCTGAAGCGCAACGAATCGAACCGCCAGGGAGGGCGGACCTCAGCTTCTTGGAGCAACATCTGACTCCGCAATTCCGTCATAACCCACCCAGAAGAATCCTACATCAACCGCTGAGCGCGGAAATAATGGCGAGGACCTAAGTGGAACGCCACCCACCCTCCCAACTTACAATGGAACGACTGATCCAGAGGATCACGTCAGCACCTTCTGCCTGAGGATGCAACTCCAGACTAACTCCAACGCGGCGCTATGCAGAACCTTCCCATCAACATTCTCCGGAATATGCCTCGATTGGTACAACCGCCTCCCAAACGGAATCATCCGCTCATTCGAGGAGTTCATACTCCTGTTCACCACAAAGTTCGCATCCCAGAAAAGAAGGCCGCTTCACCTCAAAGCGCTAATAGATATCAGGCAGAAGGACGGAGAAAGCTTGCGAGCATTCTATGCCAGGTGGTCTAGGGTGGCAATGGCCGTGAGAGACCTCACCACAGAAACTGCCGCCCATCACCTCATGGACGCCACCACCAACATGGAGCTCAAACGAGCGCTAGCTAAAGACCTGTCACGCTGACGACAGAGATGGAGGTCAAGATCGAGAAAGCCATCACGCTAGAAGAGACACTCGGCGTGGGTTCCGTCAGGCGCTTTGAACCCGCAAAGGCGCCCAAAGAGGAACAAGTGCGAAAACAACTACCAGTGCCGCGGGACCAGTTGATGCAATTGCACAGCGGCCCCAGACGCCCACCACCTGCGCCAGAACAAGTTCAACGAGGGCGATCACCGGAGAGGCGCAACTACACACCCCTCAATGACTCCGTGAAAAATGTGTTCCACGTTCTGCGCGAGAAGGGTTACAGAATCAACTGGCCCGCGCCTCTGAGGTCGTTACCACACATGCGCGATCCGAAGAAGCGCTGCGAATTCCACAGAGAAACTGGCCACTGGATAGAGGATTGTAGAGAGTTGCGCCACGAGATCGAGGGCCTCATACGAAGGGGGCTATTAACTGAGTTCATCAGCGGAGCGGAAGAACAAACAGAACAGCCAATACAACCCCCACCACCCCCCCAAGCGGACTATAACGACGCTACAGGCTCGTATGTAGTGCGAAAGGAAATCGGGGTGGTAACAGTCGAAGGAGACCGCCCGAAGAAGAAAACCAAACGCGAGCGCGCTATAGAGTGCGCAGCGGCCGAAGTATCGACGAAGTGCAATCTGAGCTTCGATGATGCGGAATTCCCCCAAGGATTCCCATTAGAAGATCCTCTTACCATCATCGCGCTTGTCGCCGCCTGCAAAATCCACCGCCTACTGATAGACGAAGGCAGCGCGACAGACATCCTTTTCAAGAGCACTGTCGATCAGATGGACATCGACCCGCGCCTAATCAAGCGCGCTCAGGGGAACTTGGTCGGCTTCTCCGGAACGAGAGTTCCAGTCATTGGCGTGGTCACCCTCCTGGTCGTCCTGGGAGACCAAGAGCCGCGCATCTCAAAACAGGTCGAGTTCACGATAGTCGACTGCAACTCGGCCCATAACGGCATTTTTGGCAGGCCCTTCTTAGCCAAATTCATGGCACTCCCGTCAACGTGCCACCAAAAACTTAAATTCCCCACCAAGGCAGGGACCGGTGAAGCGCGCGGGACGCCATGGGAGGTCCCGAAGCCGGGGGAGCCCTGCCAGACCAACATCGTGGACACGAGGGCAGAGGAGCCACGTCCGGAGTCGATGGACTCCGATTTTGAAGTCGGGCTAGATCCAGCCGAACCGACGCGGAAGATACGCATTTCGACCCACGTCAGCGGTGATGCGATTGAGCCATTGATAGCGCTGCTGAAGGAGTATAAGGAACTTTTCGCCTGGTGCACTAAGGACATGCCGGGAGTCCCGAGGGAAGTGGCCCAGCATGACCTCGCGGTTCCAGTCAACGCGGAACCAAGGCAACAAGCGCGACGAAGCTTCACAGGCGACAAACTAAAGGCCATTGAAGAAGAGGTTGCGCGGCTATTAGCTGCGGGTCTAATTCGCCCAGTAAAATACCCGAAGTGGCTGGCA